ATATGTATATTATATGAGAAATAGAGAGATAGATAGATAGATTGTTGCAGAAATAGAAATACATATCGATATAGATAGATAAATAGATATAGTTATGATTGTTCAGAACACGACTAACCTCTTGACGGATGTGCACAAGTTCAAAATCTTCCTCGACACCGTGCAAGTGCGTGTCCTGGAAGGCTAAGGATACGTTGTGTGCTTCAGCCATAATTTGTTACTACCAATCAAGAGTTAAGAATGTTTACGTTTGATGTACTGTATGTACTTGATCTTGGCAGTGGATGTGTGAATACGCTCGTGTGGGCGTGAGTTGTGTTTATCTTCTGAAATGGTATAGAAAAATTTGATAGTATCGTACGATAATGCTTAGCCAACTGCTATCCTCAGTTGACTATCGCCTCCAAATAATTAAACATGCAATGTTGTTTAGCTGCGAAACCTTCAAACCAGAACCACACCAGACCAGGCACTACTTATTTATTTATTTTGAACCCCCTTGCGTAGTCCAGTCATGCTAAAAAGAAGTGAAAGTTGGAACTTGAGAGCAGTGACTTGCTGAAAGCTAACAGGTTGCCCTTCTCAACGACCTGCTGATAGGTCCAGGAGAAAAGAACAGCACCTTTTTTTTTAGACCAGCTGTGTCATCAGTTTATTTTTTGAAAACATGTGATATTAATATCAAGGTTCTATACTAAAACAAGAGTAACTCTTCTTGATAAAAATAGTGTAGAGAATTCTAGATTTGTCCTTTTTTTTTTTTTTGAGAATCGGCTTCCCAACAGTATATACTCCAGTCACAGAGAAGCTGACTAGCTGAGAGCCCAGATTCTGAGATTCAGGAGTCAGAGGCACTCAGAGCCCCAGAGTCTCAGACTCATAGACTCAGACTCATTGGCTCAGACGCTCAGCTACGAGCTGCATTGGTACACGACGACGTCCATGAAAAATTGAAAATATGTCGCGGCGACATGTATGACAATTGGCATGTCGTTTTCCTATATCGGCCCATAACGACACTATGTCGTGACCAATATGCCCTACAAAATGTTGACCGAACATGTACGACGTGTCGTTTACCCAAATATCGGCGTTGTGTTCAGTTTATGTTTACCAAACCTATAATAGTGCAATGACTCATGACTCATGGCTCATGAGGGTTACTACAGTCATACAGTGTCACTCCCAACTCCTCAGTCCCAGTCTCCCAGACCCCAGAGCCCAGGCCCCAGAGGCCCAGAGTGTGTGAGACTCTCCCCAGTCAGTGGCCCATACCAAGCGGCCCAGCCTCACACACACAAGTCTAAAGTGAAAGTCACTGCACCAGGGGCCTGACCCAGCCGCGTCAGTAGAGTAGAGTCACTAGAGAGTGACCCTCTTTCTTTCTCTCTCTCTAGAGTCTCTAGTCTCTACTACTACATAGTAGGCTTTCCTATATTAAAAATGAAACCCAAAAATAGAAACGCTCCATAATTTTATATATAAAATTTTAGGTCCCCATCGGCCATCTTTCATTGGTTTTCAGGATTCGGTTCGGTGCGCAAACTCAAAGTGGGTATTGGTTTCAGTTTCTGTTCCTCCAATTGAATCTAACACGATACATTCCAATTTTAAGAACGCTATGGGGTGATTGAATCCTGGTTATAGAGTGGATATTATTCGAAACCCGTGTGTGCTCTGACTGCTCTCACTACTCAAGTCAAGCCCCGTGTTTTCAAAAGATTTTTTAAATCGAACGTAGAATAGACTTGGTCTTGTAGTCGACTCTACTAGCGTAGAGCTGACTACTGTCTCACTCGGTACGTAGCCCCAGCGTTCAGCAGTGATTCGGTGATGTGTATTGTATTTATTTACACAGTTGCCAGTTGACACTTCCTCTTGCTCCTTGGCAGTACAATTTTTTTAGAAAATATTTTCACACTGCCAGTCCATTCTCCAGAGCCTACTTTTTAAAAAATTAGACAGACAATCTGACATATTTATTTATTTACAGTAACAGTACAATAAAAGATAAGCCCCCTGCCCATGGACCAAAACCTATTTTTAATTAAATTCTGGCGCGCCATTTCAGTAGTTGAGAGATACCATTGGTCCAGGCGTTTATGTGACGAGTGCGATAAGCTACAAACAGTTTCTGGGTGCCACATAGACACCCTTTTCTTGACGACTATACGGGAAGAAATAAGCGAGAACGTTAGTAGACGAGAGCAAAAGTCAGATTGGAATAACAGTTAAGCCCAGTTAGCATGCCGCGTGCTCAGGCAGTACGCCCCAAAGAGCGAAAGAAGGGATCAGGTGGTAAACGAGTCAATGCAGGTAGGAAGCGAACAGTACAGACTCTAACACGTGTGCCGAGACAAAACAACTTCAGGCTTCAAACTTAAATCAACCAAAGTAGACCCTCCAATATATGATGGGGCTCAACAGAGCCAATCAGCAGATCTTACGGATGATATTTCGCAGCAATGTCAATTAGAGGATATGCAGCCCAATCAGGTGGCGATGATGCCAACAAAAAAATGCAAATGGGATGGGAATCATATCAGTGCAACAAGATGTAGCAGCTACAGGTGATGTTGCTAGAATTATTATCAATCCCTTTGCAATTCTACATGCCCGATATATTTGTATGGTTGCCCGAAATGTACTATAGCCTCATTTTAACTTACCCATGGTGTAAATCAGTCAAGACATAATCAGATGGATGGACTAACAATCCTAGAGTACGGTGAGTGTATGGATGGAACAGACATTACTATATCATGTCAAGAAGACATATGTGTCACGTTTGCATAAAATATATATATAGCGCATGATCCTGGAGAAATCGCCGCCTTTTCTGAACATGCCCAGTTGAATTTCCCGGCTTATATGGCAGCTAGGTGTGCTATGAATGCGAAGTTGGCGCAAGATTTGCTGAACAAGTATTATGAATCAGGAAAGGTCAATGACCTCGGAGAAACAGATAAGGACAGATATCTGAAAACGTGTACTGCACAGGTATTGGCCTAATATTCTTCCTAATAAAACCGTAAGAAAATTCTAGGCGACAACAATGCTTTGTAGAGACCTGACTATGCCAAGAAGGCAAAGCCGTTCTTCTTGTTCATCCTAAACACTGCTGGGGTACAAAATTCTTCAGTACTAAATATCTAGGCGAGCTCATGAACAGTCTGACACAAAACAATCGTGGGTACTTCGATCTTCGCATTCAGAACTAAGCTGGATAAAAAGGATTGTATACAGCTTCAAATTGTGAAAGTGTGTTCATGATGGAAATCTGTGCCGCTAATTTGGGTCTTTGGTTTTGATCGTTAATGAACACGAGTAAATTCTGCAGATGCTCTTTTGTACACCAAAAGGTTGTTAGCAGATCGATTAAATCGTTTATGCACTAAGTTCTGGATAGTATCAATATAAGTGATGAACAAATGGTGAAGCTTGCCGCTCCAGAGCTACTCAGCAATGAAGTTGCACCCGTTATACCGATAAAGATTGATCCTGATTTACCAATAGTCTCTCTACCAGCGGTCTACAACAGAGTGACTGTCAAAGATGTCAGTGAATTCAACTCTGGAACATTTCTAATAAATTTGAATATGAATTTTGACTTTTAGTAAAGTTAGGTACGCCTCGTGAAAACAGTAATACTCTGAGGGATTGTGAAGCTGAGACATTGCCTATATATTATCCTCTCAGTACTGTTTCTGCCGAAGGGATTTATTCGTTGTCGCCCTATTCGAAACTATGGTATGTTCCATTGGGGCGAATTCGAGATACTCATAAAATCCTATCTTTAGAAAAATTAAAGAAAAATTAAAAATACTCTTGATATCCTTAGTTATTGTCTTAACCAATAACTTGCCTTATATCAAGAATTACCGACTTAGCCTTTATCAGAGTGGCCCATCTGGTTGGCTGATCGGAGGATCAACTAGGTAACGTTAATAGTCCCTAGAAACCTATATTTGTTTGAGCCATCTCGCTACCGAAGTATTCAGATATAAATAAAGTTGGAAAGTAAATATAGTTCTATTAATAGAACTAGACCAACTCTTATGTTTGGTATTTTACTGAGACCTTTTAATAGCCTCGTCTATATATCTGATATGTAAAATGAAAAAGGTATTAATTAATAAAACCATTAAACCCCATTTAGGAAACTTAAGTTCCTCGTACTATTAAGAGTACGTTTATAATTTGCGTATTGCTTAAGAGTACGTTTATAACATAGAGTCTAATGTGGAGGCCCGGCTATTACACAGCCCCCACCCAGCTTTGAGACCCATGAGAAGCAAGTTGCTCACTCAAGCTGAATATGGGTCAAAAAGCGAGAAAGGAAAAACGGGTCGAAAACATTAAGTAGCATAACATATAGTTAATGCTTCTCAGGCGGAGAAGTTAAGTGTTTTTGGTTACCCTGTGAGTTTTGGGCTTAGGTCCAGTAGGTCCGTGGTGGTTGACTGGACGTTTCTTACGCTTCAGTGTCTGAAGCACATATGAAGGATAAGGTTTTTATATTGTGAGTCGGGTTTAATCTCTTTCATATATTGAAGAGATTTCTGATCACACATCAGCGTAAATGCTGTTCTGTATAAGTAATCTCGGAAGTGTGTTAGAGCTGCCACTATTCATAATAGCTCTTGTTTAACAGTTGGGTAATTCAACTGTGAAGTATTCATAGCTCGACTAAAGAATTGTATATATCTAGGATTGTTATCTATATCCTGATATAATACTCCTCCTAAGGCTAAGTCGGAGGCGTCCGTTGCTATTTCAAACGGCACGCCATCGACTTGTCCTTGCACAACAGGGGCTTGCTGGACTGCGTGTTTGAGTGCTTTAAATGCGTCATCACACTCTTTAGTCCACCTATGCAATTGAAAATTATATATGGATGATGGCTCGCAGCAGAACTGAAATGTACGTCGATTGTGAGGGAATGCAACGGCGGCATACACATATATTAGACATATTATGACGGTCTTGAAAGTCTTGAATCCAGCTGCCGTATTACCTTATCCGAAGGTCAGCCAAAGTAACACACTACGCGACACATATGGCTGGTTTGATGAGATATCCTTTCATATAGCCTGCAATACGTCGATGTTGATGGTTAAGATAGCATAGACGATATAGATACACCAGTGTGTCTCAGTATGCGAATAGATATATGTCCATGTAAAAAGATATACAATAAAAATTTAAAGAGCATTTGGTGATATTTTTACTTTATTTTATATGTGCATGTATGTGTTATTGGTGACATCCGTGCATTATAACATATCTCTACAAATACGCATGCATATGCCCCCATATGGATTCTTACACCTGAGGTTATCGTTACAATTTGAGCAACTCTTACGTTGCGTGCGTTTTTGAATGCGACCAGATTGTATTCTAGATACAACGTGTGGCGTTGTAAACTGATTTACTGTATTCACCGCTGTAAATTCAAGGCTGTGCTGATAATATACCATCCTATGTTAGGATGATAGTGCATCTGCGGTACTTAACTACTAGGTGGTATAATTGTTTGAGGTTGCTGTGTTTGCATAGTAGGCTGTGTTTGCTCAGTGTCTGAAGCTGAATTGTTATCAGGTGTGAGTGTTACTGGCATCTCATGTCTAGCTTTCTTGCCTTTCCTACCAGTCCGAATTCCATCAGGAACTGGTTTCTCCGTTGCAACGGGTCTGGGTATCTGGCTAGTATCGTGAGCCTGGCCAAGGGGTGGCAAAACGTATGCATAAATGTCACTAACTGTAAGCCCCGGATTCGGTATGGAAGGATTCGCTGCCTCAAATCTTTGTGCTTGTTTCTAGAGATGAGCCAATGCTGTTTCGAAATGGACCGGGAGTTTGAGGAATGTTGTACGGCCATTCACTTTAAAATTTCAACGTCCCTTCAGCTTCTTCATGAATGCTTTTGAACCTAGCCTTAGACTCTCTGCATTCAGTTCGTGATTAAGTTTCTCGCAGAGAAGCCGTCCTCGATATAATAAGACGGGCCTCCACATTAGACTCTATGTATAAACGTACTCTTAAGCAGTACGCAAATTATAAACGTACTCTTAATAGTACGAGGAACTTAAGTTTTATAAATGTACTCTTAATAGTACGAAAAACTTAATTCTTCTAAATGTGCTCTTAATAGCACGAGGAACTTAAGCTTCCTAAAATGGTTTTTAATGGTTTTATTAATTAAACCTTTTCCATTTAACAGATCAGATATTTGGATGAGGCCATTAAAAGGGTTTTAGGGTTTTAGGGTTTCTAAAACCCTAAAACCCTAAAACCGCAAACGCAAGGCGCGAATGAAACGCGCCA